CCCGGAGGTCAACTCCAAAGGTCAGACACACGCGCAAACGCGCTCGCGCGCGCACACACACACACACACAGGCAACAGTGCAGACAGTAGACTTCGAGTCAGCCTGTTTACTGGTGCCCAAAGGCGTGGTCACTTCTCTGATTCCAAAGAAGCTGGGACTGAGCATGTCTGGGCTTGAGGACGTCTTCATGGCCACAGGACACGAATAGGTCTCATTTCTTCGGCCAGTGTTCACATCTGCGACCCCGAAGGCAGAGTGTGTCGTGCCCCAGGGTGATGGACGAAGAGCTGCCCACTACCCAAGGATGTCCGTGTCCCAATACCTGGCACCAGTGACAATGTCCCCTGACGTGGCAAAAGGGACTGTGGCACATGTGATGGAGGTCACGGACCCTGGGGGAAATGCACACACCCAGTTATCTTGCAAGCATTGCGTGCAACGCTTCAGTCCTAAGATGAGCATAGCACTCTTGGGGAGAGGAGGAAATCACCATGGTGGGGACCCAGCGCCCCACCGAGCGAAAGAGGCATCCGGCAGACATGTTGGACCTGCCATGGTCGCCCATCAAATCCTCCCAGGATGAAGAAGGTATCACACCCCTCTGAGAAATGGGAAAGCAGTGGGCTCAGAGGGGGTGAGTCACTTTCCCAAGGACACACAGCGTATGAAAGAAGAGGAGCCAAGATGTGAACACACCTGGCAGCTGCGAGCCCAGGTCCAAACCTTGGCTCACCAGCCTGTGATGACCGTGCCCCAGGGAGGGGTGGTCTTAATTGGTGTGTGTGTCAGGGGTGGGGGGTTTCAACCCCAGGAGTGTCAGCGGAGACCCCCGCCCCTCAGCCCGGCCAGCCAGCTAAAAGGCCCTCTGTCCCCACTGGCCGTCTTTTGCAGCTGTTATTTTCTGAAAATCAAAAGGGCTTTTTATAACTTCACATTTGAAGTTTTTTGACTGGGAGTCACACACACAATTTACGACTGGCAATCATCATGCAGGCTTGGGAATTTCTGCAAAGTGAGAAAATTTAACCTAGCAACTGTTTTGAAATGTAATGAAATCTGTATGAGTACAAAATTTCGCAATTGATGAAGTTGACACATTTTTGTAGATGTGGAGACATTTGATAAGGTATTAATTTTGATTTTGCAGTTTTCCTTTTATCTGGAGTGGAGAATCCCATCCTTCTTATTCTCCAGGCCTCAAAACATCTTACAGGCTCCCTGGACAGCATGAGCACCCCGGGACCTTTCCCTGCAGGCTCCCCACACAGTGCCGGTCAACATTAAGCACTTACTGTATGCCAGGAACAAATCCGAGTTTCTCATGTATTTGACTAATTTCATCTTCGCAAAGACTCTTTATGGTAGGGGTGCCTGGGTGGCTCAGTGGGTTGAAGCCTCTGCCTTTGGCTCAGGTCATGATCTCAGGGTCCTGGGATCGAGCCCCGCATTGGGCTCTCTGCTCAGCAGGAAGCCTGCTTCCTCCTCTCTCTCTGCCTGCCTCTCTGCCTACTTGTGATCTCTCTGTCAAATAAATAAAATCTTTAAAAAAAAAAAAAAAGACCCTTTACGGTAAATACTACTATTGTTCCCTTCTTCCAGTTAAGGAAGCAGAAGCAGAGGACTATGAACTCCCCAGGGGCAGACAGGCAAACGGCGGGCGGGGGCGGGGGGATTGTGAGCCTGTCCCGCCAGCCTCTACCCAGTGCCTCTCAGTCTGATGGTACACGACAGAAGCCCTGTCTTTAAAAAAATTATTTTTATTTTTTTAAAGATTTAATTAATTTATTTGACAGAGGAGACACAGAAAGAGAGAGGGAACACAAGCAGGGGGAGTGGGAGCGGGAGAAGCAGGCCTCCCGCTGAGCAGGGAGCCTGATGTGGGACTCGATCCCAGGACCCTGAGATCATGACCTGAGCCGAAGGCAAACACTTAACGACCGAGGCGCCCAGGCGTCCCTAAAAAAATTTTTAACTTGTGATAAAATACACATAAAATGTAACCATCTCTAAGTGCACAGCTCAGTGGCTTTAAGCACATTGCCATTGTGCAAACATCCCCACCCTTCATCTCTAGAACCTTCCATCTCCCCAAACAGAAACTCTGAACCCATGAAGCATGGGCCCCCCCAGCCGCTGCCCCAGCCCAGCTCCCACCCTCTCCTCTGTGTTGGTGTGGACGGGACTCCTCTGGGGCCCTCCTGGAAGTGGGGTCCTGCAGGATGGGTCCTGCTGTGCCTGGCTCCCCTCACCGAACCCAGTGTCCTGGGGAGGGGGCGGGGCAGGCCCTCTGCGCGGTGTCAGGTGTTCAAACTATGGATGGACCACGCCGTTTACCCACACCACCACCATACCCCATTACGATGGCTGTTACAAATGCGCAGAAACCAGAGAATCAGTGTTGGTGAGGATGCGGAGTGGCCCTCCGTGCGTCACTGGTGGGGCCGTGAGATGCACAGCCGCTGTGGGAAACGGGGTTCCTCAAAAGCCAAAGGCAGAATGACCGTGGGAGCCAGCAGCTCCAGGCCTAGGTGTCTACCCAGAATGGGAAACAGGTGTGCAGGCAAACACATGGCCATGAACGTTCAGAGGAGCCGAGGTGCCAACAACCCCTGTGCCCGTGAGCAGCCCCTTTCAGAACACAGACATTGGAGACAAACCGTTAAGACTCTTAATTGTAGGAAACAAACTGGGGGTTGCTGGGGACGGCGGGCGGAGCGATGAGGTTACTGGGTGCTGGACATCAGGGAGGTACGTGTTACGGTGAGCACTGGGTGTTACAGAGGGCTGACGGATCACGGACCTAAACGTTATGTGTTTACAAAAAATGGTCAAAAATTTAAAATAAAAACACAGATTTGGTTCTACCTCCCTTTTCTCTCCTGGGATAAAAATCAAGACCTAACAAAATCTAACTACACGCTGTTTAAAAACAAAACAAAGTAAGGTGGGTTATCAGACACAAACAGAAAACATAACAGTTTGTAACAGATACTGTGCACTCCGGCCAGTAAACGCTAGGGCCCGGGATGATGGGGCGCTCGGCCGCACACTCGCACCAGCTCTGACCCTGCCTGAAGGTGGTGGGGAGGCAGACACACCCTAGCAGCCTGTCCATAGAGTGGGGTGACTCTAGGGAAGGTCCCAGACTCGATAATGAGCAATTTTCCCTCCATTTACTGGGAAATTGCACCCTGGCAAAATTCCCATGTTGAGGTGCTGGCCCCAGGACCTTAGAAGGTGGCTGTATTTGGAGACGAGGCCTTTGCACAGGTCATTCGGGTGAGCCCCGACCCACGTGACCGGTGTACTTACAGGAAAAGGGAAATCTGGCCACAGACACGCACACAGGGATACTCCTGACAGGCAGAGATCAAGGTGACGTGTCAACAAGCCAAGGGACACCACCAAATATTGCCGGTGACCCCCAAAGCTGGGAGAGCATGGGACAGATTCTGTCACAGCCTCGGAGGGAAACTTGACCCAGACTTCCGGTCTCCGGGACGGTGAGAGAGTATTATTTGTTTCCAGCACTGTGCTGCGGCAGCCCCAGCAAATGCCCAGATTTTACCCATGTTAAGAACAAGTCTGGGGGCACCTGGGTGGCTCAATGAGTTAAAGCCTCTGCCTTTGGCTCAGGTCATGATCCCAGGGTCCTGGGATCGAGCCCCGCATTGGGCTCTCTGCTCCGTGGGGAGCCTGCTTCCTCCTCTCTCTGCCTGCCTCTCTGCCTACTTGTGATCTCTTGGTGTCAAATAAAAAAAAAAAGAACAAGTCCAGTTTCAGGCCCAGCTGTTAGGAAGGGGGTGTTCTCACCCCCCCCAGGCTGTCTAAAGCTCCGATGGGGCAGCTTGGCGGCAGCACCCGGGGCCAAGAGCCCTTGGTCTCGCTCCTGGACGTCAGTCACTCCTACCTCCTGGAGGGCGGTTGCTCCCCGGCAGCTAGGGGGACGAGATCTCAAAACGGGTCTCACCCACCCCAGGCTGAGTATGGCTTTTATCACCCCACATGGTGAGCTCAGACCCCAATTTCCAGGCTCTGGCTTGTGGAGAAGAGACGGGCCCCGTGCAGGAGGCCCCATGGAGACAGCATCCTGTCAACCTGTCATTGGAGAATGACTCTGAGAGCCCCCATGCCGGGGTAAACTCACGTGGCATGTCCTCGGTTCGACTCAGAGGACACCAAGGGCCAGAGCTGACCTGCCTTTAACGCTCGGCTTCCGCGGCAGGCCGGGGAGGACTTTCAGATTGCTCTTTAAAAGCTAAACACCCCAGCGGGAGCACAGGCTACTCCAGGAGAACTGGCAATTGTTCGGTAGCCTGCGGGGCGGCTGTCCTAGTTCTGGAGGGAGGGAATCCAGGTGCCTGGCAGGGGACGCTGGGGGATTAACTCTCCCCACTCCGGATCAGGGCCAGGATTCGTGGGTCGTCCTCCTGCCTGCCCCCAGGTCCACCCCATTTATGGGGGTGGGAGGAGGGACAGGCTTGGCCCCTGGGTACCCCGATGGGCCTGTCGTCACTCAAGCTCCCCGCCCACCACAGCTCAGCTGCTCTCTGCGGTCACGCTGGAGGGGCCTGGGACAGAGGGGCCGTGCCTAGCACTGAGGGCCAGCCAGGGGCCTAGTAATCACGTGAGGAAATTACCTGTTAATTTGCATTTCCAGAAAAATGGGGCGATCAAGCCCCCGTACCAAGCAGGGCCTGCCCTCAGCCAGACCCCAAAGCTGGCACACCATCACCAGAGCCCCTCACCTCAGGCACACCAGCATGAGGAGTGAAGTGACTGGTCTGAGGCCCCCACGATGCAGAACCCCCACCGCCATGAAGAACTTCTAATTCGGATCCCAGCCCTGCCCCTACTTAGGACCCGGTTCCTCATCTGTGGCAGGGGTGGGGGGGTGGCGCAGGGCTGTTGGGGGGACTCGCTCAGATGGACCCAAAGGCACGAGGCCGCTGCTGAGGTGGGCACCACCCTCGGCCCCGCAGTCACCGTGACACACGAGTGCGAACCATAAACTTTTATTAATGGAAAATGGAATGCCTCGTTAACAGAAATCTTGTCTTAAAAACGTCAGAGAACACGTTTATTTAAAAAAAAAAAAAAAAAGTGAATTCACATTGTATTGAGCTACAATATGGTGGCAGGATTTGCTTTTGTTTCTTAAAAGGTTCCACAAGTTCAAGGTGACTCGGGCAGAGAGTCAACAGTACGTCCTCCTACCTGGACGCTCGGAGTGTGTGGGGCTTAGTAGCGGCGGGTGAAGTGGGGGTATGGGTGGGGGTGCGGGACTCGGCTGCCCCGGTCCTGGCTGGCCATTCCTCCACCTTCCAGTCCGCCGCCGGGCACCATGTGACCCTGGGAATGCCCACCTTGTGCAAAGCCGCCTCGCCTAAGAACAAAGGCACACGTTTTGTCCCCTCCAAGTGCTGTACGTTTTCGTTACGTGGGGCAGCATACGGCTCTGCAGCCTTAAGAGCCCGTCTGGCTTTTTCCAGGTGGGAGCAGTCCTCATCGCGGACCGCATTCTGGGCGCCTGGGGGCTTGTTGTCTAAACACTCAACCCAGCGCGCTGGTCAAACATGCAAAAATAGGAAAGGAAAGGAGGAGCAGGGACAAAACTCCTTACCCCGACATCCCGCCCCGATTTGCCATGTGTCCTGGCCCTGAGGGTCCAGAGAGGCCCCTCTCACCACCTGGAAGAAAGGAAAGTGTTTGCACACACTTTTCTCAGAAGCCCCTAGAAGCCTCAGCAACTTCCGGGAGGGAGTGGGCCCCGGAGTGTCCTGGAAACGTGCGGCCCTCCTTCAGGCCGTACCTTGCCACCGCGCGTGCTCCCTGCCTGCCGTGCCTGCGTCCACCGAGCCCGGCCACGCGCGCTCCGGATGATCTTCTAGCCTCTGACTGTGCTCCGCCCAGTCACGTCCTCCCCTGCGTCAAAACAGAAAGCAGATACGGAAGTGTCCCCGCGCGCCTCTACAGGGAGGCCATGGCCCAGCTGATCCTGCCCTACACCGAGGGTTCCTGAGAGAAGAGGGCAGAATATGAGGACGCGCCCCCAAAGACACGCACGTGGCCAGCGAGCACACGAACGGGAGCTCAGCTCGGCCATTGCGACAAGCAAGCGCGTCAGCTGTGAGACCCCTGCACCACCCGCGAGGCTGGCCCGTGACCAAAGGACAGATGGGAAGAGCTGTCGAGGATGTGGACAAACAGGGATTCTCGCGTGTGGCCGGTTTGAGAAGATAAAATAGGACAGCACGCGGTATCCGTAAGACCCGCCGTGTCCATCCCTGCCCATTTGCCCAAGGGAGCGGGAAATGTGCTCCCGGAAAAACTGGAACACACACACTGCAGCACGGCTCTGTGCGAGCCCCGAAGTGGAACGGCCCAGTGTCCCCCAGCTGCCGAGCAGAGAAATAAAACGTGGTCTCTGCACACATGGCACGTTACTGAGCCGAAGAAAGGAACGCAGCTCTGACCCGTGAGACCGCGTGGCTGAACCCTGCCAACACGACAGCGAGAGAAGACAGATGCGAGAGGCCATATAATGCGATTTCAACTTGCGTGAGATGCCCAGAGCAGGCAAACCCAGACACGGACCGGATCCGCAGAAGCCAGGGCAGGGGGAGGCAGAATGGGGAGGACCATGAACGGAGGGTCCTTTGGGCGTGATGACAACATTCTAGAGTGGGCGACGGGGAGGAATGTATGGCTCTGAACATACTAGCAGCCGTGGCTTCAAAGGAGTCACCTCTACGGTGTGGGACTGTGACTCAAGGAAGTGGTTTCAAAAAATAGAAGCTCCAGCGAGTGCAGCTCCCACAGGGTTCCGGTGTGTGGGCGGTGCCACCACCAGAGGCGCCCAGGCCCAGGCTGACCCATGTTCTAAGACATGCGACGAGGAAGCCATCCGAGTCCCCGACACCTGTCCTCAAGGGTGACTGCTTGGCCGCCCCCCACGCACAGGTGGCCGTCGCCCAGCCAGAGGGTGACGGCGCTCACAGCTCCCTTTTGTCTGCCGGAGTTCTCCTGGTCCTGCTTCCCGCAGGTACTTAAGGCAGAACGGAGTGTCTGGTATTCCAGGACTGAGTGCTAAGTAGGGCGCTCAGGAAAGCACTTCACATCGATCTAGCAAAACGGTGCTGCCCTCTTTGTTCCACACCCAAAAACCCACCTCAGGGAGGCAGAACCTTCTCACAGGCACCCCCCCCAAACACCTACAAGGGACTGGGGGGCAGGGGTCGGGGTGCAGAGCCTCTCTATTCTCTAGGTCCCCGGGGCAAGTGTAAGAAAGGCTCCAGGGCTGTCCCCGTCAGCAGGCGGGGGCTCCCGTGACTAGGGGTTGAGGCGCGTGGGGAAGGGCTGTTGGGGGCGAAGCAGCAAGGCTTCTCCGGCCGGCCCATCTGCTAACCTGGGTGGAGGTGGTGGCCCCCGGCCCTCACTCATCCTCTTGTCGGAGCCGTAACCCCCCCAGCCGTCCCGGGAGTCCCGGCTGTGGCGCTCTGGCGGTCCTCCGTGTCCATGGCGGTCATCTGAGTAGTGCTGGAAGGCATAAGAGGGACAAGGCAACTCTAGCCACGTCACTCTCGGACAGGCTCATGAGCCTGCTGTAGCCAGCCGGGGGGTGGCTCTGAGAGGACCTGCCCAGGCCCCTCCTGACCCCACCTCGCCGGACATGCTCTTCTCCCCTGACAGCGCCACGGGAACCTGAACGGGGTCTCTTGCCTCCCAATGCCCTCCAACGTAAGAACCATCACGCACCCCTGCAGCCCATCTCTGGTGCCACGCCTAGTGCCAGAAGAGGCCGCTCTGGCCCCATGCTCGTGGAAAGCCCCGCACTTTCTGGCGCTGAAGAGTCCCTTAGAGTCTTCCCGGGAAGAATCAGGACAGCTCCTCCTGCTGGTGACAGGAGGGCCCCTCCCACACCCCCAGGGTGGTCAGCGGCCTCTCCGTGTGACACCAGAGGCAGCAAGGCAGACAGGAACCACTCTGTGCTCTGGCCAACCAATCCTGTGCTCCGGAACTCAGCACACTGCAGCCGGACGGAATCGCACCATGTTCCCTCAAAAATCACACTGCTGGCTTAAAGGAACAGGATTCCGATGCTCCCCTCCTTTCTCCTAGAGGACTACCCTCTTCTCTGAGCATCCCTCTGCAGAGTGCCAGACACACAGGGACCCCCCCCCACACCAACATGGGCAAAAACACCTCATGGGCTAAGCCTCTGAGTGGGGTACTGTGGGCAGCTCATAGTGCGAAGACTCAAAGACCCTCTAAACAAGTGGGCGGCCCAGGAACACACGCAGATCCCACTGAATGCAATCAAACAAAAACAAACCCTATGTGTTCAAAAAACACACAGACTCACGAGTCAGAAAATAATCAGTCACATATGCTTCCACTCACTGGTCAGAACTAACATTCCGCAACCCCCCCCCGCCCCCGGAGCACAGAAGCAGGTGCGCCCCAGGCTTGGGGTCTAGGTTTTACTTACTTGCCCATCTCGCTCTCCCATCACTGACCTGGAACCTTCCCTCCTGCAAAAGGGAAATATCTCGTTCCAATGGCCGCTGGTGGCACCAGACAACACTATGGCAGGCCCCACACACAAGTTTCACAATTGGGGTACTTATTCCATTCCACCCAGTAAGAACTGTAATTTACTGGCCTGTGAAACAAAGCTGGCTTGCATCTAAAGCCTTCTCCCTGAGGACGGGAGTGAAGCTGCGGCCTAAGAAGGTGGGAATAAAGATTTCACTGAACTGAATTCCCTTGGAGCGATCTCAGAGGCAGCAACCCACACCACGTAGCCCATGCCTCATTTATCTGTGACCTGGTAACAAAATCCAAGGTCTACCAGGAAAGCCTTAGAGGGTCCCCAACCTCTGGTTTGATCCAATACCCGTGATTCACACCGAATCTCCAAACCACCATTCATTACATGAGTGGTGTCTCAGCCCGTCTTTCCCTGCTTTCCCTTCCTTACTGAAGAGCTAATGAACGGTGAAACGGCCCAGGGATATGCAGCCCAGGAGAGCATGATGAGAAACCCAGATAGAGAACTCTTAAACTAGAAAATTGAGGGCTGCCTTTCTAATGAACTATATATATTTCTCTTTTAAAATGACACTGACCAGAAAAAAAAAAGGGAAAAAAAAATACTATTTCTTTAAAAGGGCCTGGCTAAAAAAACCTTCTCAAACCTTTAAACCGGCCAGCCAGGCAACAAGAACTTTCCTGCGTGCTGGTCGGTTCTCAGCTGGGTGTGCTGGCAGAGGAGCCTGTGCTGGTCAGCAAAGCTTGAGGACGTGGACTCTGGCCACTCTGCCTGCAAAGGCTCGGGCGGGTCACACCCTTTCTCTAAACAGCTTCCTCCCCGTACAGACAAGGAGGCTGGGCATACCTTCCTTGAAACCCTGCTTCCCAAGGGGCTTGCCTTAATGGAGGGCTGGCTGGGAGAGTCCTGGGAGCTGTGAGGCCCTGAGTGTGGGGCCCAGGAGAGCTGAGGCTCAGGAATCACCCCAAGACTCCACCAATCCGTGAAGAGGGCACTGCGTGAAAGGAGCTGGGGACGCCCTAAGGGACCTGAGTCCCACACCCTGCTGCAGGCGCGACCCTGTAAGTCCCATGTGCAGCAGGCCAGCCAGCCATAGGGAGCCTCACGAGTAAATGAGACGTCAGAGGACAGAGACCCATTCCTGCGTCGAGCTGAGGTGGCTCCATCCACAGCTGCAAGAGAGGGTGGGTGCTGACCTGTCAGCCACATGGTCCTGGTACTGGCCCCGGTCTCGATGGTCAAAGTCGTGGAAGCGGTGATCAGGGCGAGGGAAGTCGGGACGGTACCTGTCCTCCATGGCCACACGCTTGCCTTCCGGCCAATAAGCATCATCTCGCCTGTTTTTTATTTTTAAAAGGACGTGAGTTTCACTTATGACAGAATGAAGGAAAAAATGGAGGCAGAGGTGGGGAGGGGAGCTCTCTCCAGACCCAGTATCGTTTAAAATGTCCTGCAGGGCTAATCTCTAAACATTCAATCATTATTGCTTTGATTTGATAAATTGAAATCCCCCAAACTGCAAGAAGCATGCCCGTATTCTCATCTGACAGCCCTGAAAGGAGGGCTGCTGGGAGCTAATTGTATCACAAGGCTGTTAATACCTTGATCCCCGCGTGAGCCCAGATGCAAGTGAAATGAAATATTTGATTCCTCTGCAATGCCATTCCGAGCTGCCACATTTCCCCCTTCCTGTCTTCTATGGGAACCTGAACCTCCCTCTGAGTTCTTTGCAAGAGCGAAGGGAATCAGACGGGGTGATAGTGAACTACATAGAGCTCCGGATGGCATCCAATTATCTTCTTCCTGATCCTCCCCAGAACACTGGGCTCACAGAGGGTGGGGTGACGGGTGACCGTCAATTAAGCAGCTCAGAGGGGCTGGAGACCAATAAACCTACTTCGTGAACGGGAAGGCAATTTCCTGTTCTACAGTGCCATTCCGTGCCTCTCCCTCTACCGGCCGACTGGCAGCCCTGGCGCCCACGGGCCTCACACAGGCTTGGCCGCCCCACGACCAGCACCCGGCAGGCGGTTACGCTCCACGGGGAACCGTGCTGTGAAGACGGGCGCGGCCTCAACGAGCACCGCAAACCTCACCAAGGGGCAGCTATCGAGATTCTCTGCGGGACAAGTCAGGCAAACCGCGGCCAAGCCCCCGGATCCCGGACCCCAGACCCCAGAAGCTGGAGCTGGCGGCCGCTGAGAGTCGTGCGCAGGCATCCGGGGGCGCCAGGCTCGGTCGTCAACGTCCCCCACTCCGCAGGGAAGAGGGGGGGCTCACCGCCCGTCGTCGTAGGGCCTCCGCAGCACGGGCCGCCGCTCCTGCTCGTAGCGCAGCTGCTCCTGCTGGCGCCGCAGCTCCTCGCGCTCGCGGTGGATGCGCTCCTGCTCCTTGCGCCGCTCCCGCTCCACGCGCATGCGCTCGCGCTCCAGCCGCTCGCGCTCCATGCGCTCCCGTTCCAGCCGCTGCCGCTGGCACTCGAGCTGCAGGCGCTCCCGCTGCAGCCGCGCCTTCTCTTTGCGCTCGTGGAAGGCCTCCAGGCGCTGCTCCCGCTCGCGCTGCTCCCGCTCTCTGCTGGGACATGGAGGGCCGCCCTGACTTCCCTGCCGGCACCCCGGAGTACCCGGAGACCCAGCGACAGGTGCCACCCCCACTGCGCGGAGCTGCGCGCCTGGGCTGCAAACCCCCGCCTCCACGCTCCCTCCTTTGTCGCTAGAGCCAAGCCAGGGGTGAGCCGGAAGGCCGGGGGACAGGCCAGGAGGGCTTGGCTCACAGGCACAAAGTGAAGCCACAGGTTACAGGGGAGAGAAGTAAGGGAACTTGAGGTAGCCGCTGCGATGAAGGGTGCGGGGTGTAGGAGGACCCCGGAGAAAGATCCGCATAACCCGGAACGGGTCTTCTTTCTTCCCACCTTCCCCTCCCCCCAGAAGCCGGCACTTTCTAGGGACCCTGCCTTTTCCGGCCGACCCGGGAAGCTGCGGGCGCACTAGGCTGGGCGCGCACTAAGGTGGCTGGCGGTATGGGGCCTGGCTCTGTCATCAGCTACCACACAGCCGGGGCTCCGGGCACGGACGCCCCCTCTGCACCTGCAAAGGGAGCTGCTGTCACTCCTCACACCTGCCCCAGGGACTGGGAGGCTCCAAGGCCAGCGTGGGCCACTGGGAAACAAAGAGAGCCAACAGTGCCTTTACTTCCTAAGGCTCCATAAACAGAGATGTCAGCGACCCACTAAGTCAGAAAGCAGACGGAGTGTAACCAGAGAAGTTTCTACACATCCTGCTTCCACTCAAGCAAGATCGCTAACACCATGACACAAAGCTTTCGTTTCGCCGAGTGGGGTATGAAGAAAAATGACAAGGGAGCCTTAGATGGGAAAAGGCAGAAGGCAGAACTGGGAAGAGGCCGACTTCCAGAAACTGTCTTCCTAAACTAGAGGTAAACGTGGCAAAGAATGTCGTGTGCGACCAAGGCTGCCCGAATCGCCACAAACGTGGGCACTTCAGGAGCGAAGACGCCGCTCCGGCGCGTACCGTCTCTAATAAACGTGCCATGTCCCCTGGCTGCATTCCTGCTCTTATGCATGTGGGGCTGCAGCAGGGACGACTATGAGACCTTGACACTGGGGGGCCCTTCCATCAAGGCCACACACGGGTGAGCCCGCTCCCCGGGCCAGGGGACTCGCCACACAGCAGAGAGCGAGCACCTGCGCGGCTCGGTCGGGTAAGCGTCAGACTCTTGGTATCAGCTCAGGTCTCGAATGAAACCAGCTGTGACGAACGTCATGTCGAGGCTGACCACGACTGCTCATGACCCTCGCCTTTCTCCTCGGCTAACAGCAGGCAGCCAGTAAGCCTGGGCCAGGCAGGACACTTGCTTGGGGAGAAGAGCGGAGCGCCCCCGGAGGAGACCACCCACCTGCCGGCCTGCCGGGCCCCACTCACCGCCGCCTCTCCGTCTCTCGGATCTCCCGCTCCCGCTGCCTCTGGCGCTCGCGCTCCCTCTGCTCTTTGATTTTATCAAATGACAAGATGTCTCTCTTCTCTTTGCTTTCCGATTTGCGGTCCTGACTCTTGGAGCTCTGTTGATCGAAATTGGTTCACCCATGTCAGAAAAATGCAGCCGGTGCACAGTGGAAGTTAGATACGCGTTTCTCTGGGGTAGGTTAAAATTCCTCTGTCCCCCATGGCTTCCAGGAAGGCCCAGGAGGCAGTTCAGCTCACCCACAGCCCAGAGGCACTGCTCGCTCGGGAGAACTGCCTTCTCACACTGCAATCATAGGGGGTCACGGGAGAGCAAGGAGGGGGGCACCTCACAAAACCTACTGGCAGGTCTCCCTGCCCAGCAGAGCCAAGGACTCCGCGCTGTCTAGAACAAGGCCCCACGGAGCCGCGGGCACGTGTACCCTGGCCGCCCCGCTGGACAGCGGGCCGCATGGCTCACGTCTCACCTGCCGCCTCAGGCCTTCAAATCCCACAGGACGAAGCAGCTCTGCCGTGGAGGAGAGCTCCTACTCACGACAGCGTGCTCACGGGCAGCTGCCGTGCTGCTCCCTCTCCGGGTGAGGCAGGCAATGCTGCCCGCCGACTCTCCCCTCTGAGGCTCTCAGGGGCTAGGATGCCCAAGCTGGCCACGATCACCCTCTCAGAAAGCTTTCACAGCTTGGGACACCTGTGTGTCCTGCAGCCCCCCGCCCCCGGTCTCTAGGGAAGGGGCTTGGTAGACATTTTTAAAAATGTCCTCAGGTTATTTTCTTAATTACCTTGAGGACCAACCCAAGAAAAAGACAAGCCGTAGTTACGAACAGATAATTTTGCTGAAGAAAGAGAGGAGCACAGAGGGGACGATCTCATCACAAAGAAAGACCGGACCCCAAAACACCAGGATGACACTCTTCGCCTGAGAGATGGGCTGAGTTTTTTTTTTTTTTTTAAAGATTTTATTTATTTATTTGACAGAGATCACAAGTAGACAGAGAGGCAGGCAGAGACAGAGAGGGAAGCAGGCTCCCCGCCGAGCAGAGAGCCCGATGCGGGACTCGATCCTAGGACCCCAAGATCATGACCCGAGCCGAAGGCAGCGGCTTAACCCACTGAGCCACCCAGGCGCCCCAGAGATGGGCCGAGTTTTGAGTCTAATCACACACCCTGCAGGCCGGGGGGCGCCCAGGCAAGGCACTGTAGTCTCCGAGTCGGATCCCAGGCTCGCAGCGGGCCTCCCGCGTCCCTGCAGCCGGCGTGCTCTACACACCCAGGGACCATAGCATCCTTTTCCCTTTCTGAAGGGCGCTCGGAGAATACCCGTCCCAAGGAACGTCCGTGCTCCTCAGCACCTAGAGACCCAGAGCCCGGCATGGCCCGTGTGCACAAATGCTGCCTCACAGCAGTCCTCGACAGGGGCCGTTGACACCATTGAGTGTCTCTAAACGAGGGACCAGGGAAGAGGATCACAGCACAGCTGGAAAACACATGCGCGCGCGCACAGCCCCTCCCTCCCCACTGACAGCTTCCAAGGGCACCACCCCGAGGTCGCGGGCTTCAGTCTCACCGGGACAACGTTCTAGAGATAGGGGCAGAGAACCAGCTTAGCTTCCCAGGGCTGGGGTTGGGCCGGTGGGGCGGGTCATGAGCAGGAGAGCTCTCCGGTGACCGGATGGCCCTGGATCCTGACAGCAGCGGTGCTCACATGAGATTCCACCAGGACCTGAAAGTCCCGGCACTCCACTCACGCACACCCCGCAGACCAATGTCACCGTCCCTGGCTTTGAAACTGGGCTACAGTTATGTGAGCGGAAATCCCTGGGGGAAGCAGGGTGACGGGTACATCTATCTCCATACTATTTTGGCAACTTTCTGTGACTCCGTATTTGGAAACAGAGTGTACATGCTGTGTCGCGTGTGCGATGCCCTTGGAAAGGAAGTGTGAGGAGTCCATGTGAAAGGAAAGAGGCTTCTGTTCTTGTGCTGTCCTTCTATGTGATCTCAATATTCTAATTAGGCAGACTTTATTACTATTTATTCTTTCTAACTTCAGAGCTTTTCAGCTCATAAGTTTATGGGGTTTTGGGGGGGCTTTCTTTAGATTTCTCTATTTTACAGTTCTAAATTTTTACAGTTTTCATGTAGCCTGTAAGAAACATGACCTTAGGAATGACTGTATTCAAGAAAGCAAATGTTCATTGCAAAAGTCACAACGAAGCGTTCTTAGATGAACACTCCTTGTTAGCTCCCTGTTCGTTCTAAGAGGACAACTCTCCTCAGGAACGTTTCAGCCAGAACCTTCAGCTGGTAAGCAGAGGGTTTCGTTTTCCAGGGTGGGGAAAAAAAACAAAAGGAGAAGCCACCGGTCTGTCCAGCCGTGTGCCGCTTACGACACGGAGGCCCGTTCTCTGACAACGTGGAAGTCGGTTTTGCGGTGGACTCCCCTTTTCTTCCCCGTGAACGTCCCAGAAGAAGGGGATCGGCCAGCACACATCAGCCACACAGCAGAGCCCACCTTCCGACTTGAACAGCCTGGGTCCTGCCCGTCCCACCCCATGGTGGGCTTTCTGTGAACCGGTTTCCTTCTAGAGGATGGTATAATCCGACAAAGAACCAGCAAAGGGTCAACACATCACTGAAAGGAAAAACACTAAGCACAGTTTTGAAACACACCGTAGAACCCAACCGTGGGTGCGCACATCCAGCCTAAACAGGGAGGAACGTGCCTCTGAGCACTTCGAAGAACGCTTCGATGCTGTTTTCCTAATGCGAATCCAAGCAGTCCTTCAACCACCCACAAATGCGCGGGACCTGACGCAGGACACACAATACTTACTCTCTCTTTTGACCTGCTTGTGGTTTTCACGCTAATGACAGGCTCTCCTTTCGATTTGTCCATCACGACCGTCCGCTCCATTCCTCTGCTTCCTTCAGGAAGAAAACAGCGCTCTGTGCACCTGCCCACAGCCCCGCTTCCCCACGGCAGGCTGCGGCCTGCCGGGGGGTTCTCGCTGCTTCCTCGAGTGACTCAAGCGAACCCTGGAGCCTCCGCACCCCCCCTCCCCACTCGTCCTGACCTGCGGTGAGCACCGTGGACAGGAGGCCGCTGGCGTGCCCTGACCGGGCCTCGCTCACCTGGGATGGAGCGGCTGTGGTTTCCCCGCAACGTACACTGTGAATCGAAGTCAAGGCGCGTCCGGCAGCACACACACACCCGACCCACCCGCTGGCTTCACCCGCTCGCTCAATCCTAGCGGCTCCAGGATAACCGCTTTCCATTTTTTCATCCTCCTCCACATTCTGGAAAGCTCTGCAGAGCTCAGGCCCTTATGCTCTGAGTCAGATGGCTGGGCTTCCCTTCATGTGTGTACAGCAATAAAGGCTTCCAAATGGATTCTGCCCCTCAACGACACAATAACCAGACTCTAACCACAGCGACTATTACTGATTTGGGGAGATTTGCAATACTTGAGGAACATTTTAAAAACACGTTCCTCATGAGACTGCCAGTAAATTACCCCGAATGCTTAAGATCCAATTTGTAACGCGCTGTACCCAATTCCAACGCTCCAGATGGCTGAGTTTTGTTTGTTTTATGGGGGGGGGGGGAGAACTGGGTTTTGTTTTTTCCACAAAACATTCTGTGGCGCCTCAAGGCAGTCTGAAGGCGTGGAACAAGCTGCAGAGCCGCATCAAATCTGTGACAAGAACGGGGCCACCTCTCCCTCGCACAGCTGCCGAAGGTACGCGGGAAGATCAAGAAGCCGGGTCCCCAAGCTGCCAGTGACCATAAATAACGGAGCGCAACACCTCCAGGTGTGCGATGTCAGCAGCGACTCCCACAAACCGCGCCACCCCCAGGCCCTGCTGTGTTTCAAGGTTGCCCATCCACGGAAGCCGCAGTCGGCCAGGCCAGCACACAGGCGCTCGCGGGCTCCCTCGGCCCACGCCCGCCTCCTCCCAGCCCCTCCCGCCAGGCTCTACCCTCCCCGGGAGACCTCGGGAGGCTCCGCTCACCTGATTTGGTGACTCGGGAGCGATTGGTAGGCCCTGGTTTCGGCTCATCCTCATTTTCTTCCTTCTTAATGTCTTCAGGCTTTTTTTCCTCCTTTTTCTCCATCTTCTCTTCCTTCTTAATCACGGTTCTGTTTAAAAACATGGTCATCCACTTGGGTTCCTGGGACTCTGGCAGGAGGTCGGTCATTCGGACTTTCCGCATAAAACCAACCCACCGGGCGGCAAGCGGACAGGGACAGTTACTGGGGAACCGCGGAAATGATCTAATGCCCTCCCAGGACCTGGCCCTCATCCTCCCCAGAGTTCTCTGCTACGCGCAGAAATAGGCAGCACAGAGGCTCGTGGACAGTTTTCCAGAGTGCTCGATGCACTGGTCTGTAGGACAGACACACGGGCACATGTGAGAGACACTCCCAAGTAGAGAAGAATGCCTGTGAAAAACTGATTTTTCGTGTTTCACTCTGGGTGGAATTTTTAAGTTTATGTAGAAATAAACATTTTTTCCAAATGCGGCACAGAACAGAACAGAGGCAGAGCACGAGGATGCGAGGTGCCTGCGCCACGGAGCAGTGGGCCACCCGCCCTCTGCTCTGTACCGGGTCACTGCTGCACACTTTGGAGGAGTTACAATGGCATGCTACGCGCCAGTTCCTACAGAACCTGTCGGTAACGTTTCAACTGAAGCCGGCTTTATTCTACACAGTGAACTGAATCATCACTGCCACTCACACTTGTCTCCCATATTCCCTAACGCTGTTTGTCTCGGGTAATTAAATCCCACACTTATTAAATGCCCACCGTGTACCAGGGTCCAGGACGGGAAAGCCAGGCCCCTCGGGGTTCCCTAACCAGTGCTCCCCACCCTCTGTTGCCTACAACTCAGGCTGTCCGAGGAAACCCCTCCTAGCTTACTCTTCCACTCCCAGCTTCCACAGAACAAATCTGTCATCTTGTTTTTTTGAGGGGGAGAGAGAGAGAGAGAGAGAGTGTGTGTTGTGTGTGTTGGGGGTTTGGTGAATGGGAAGGGGCAGAGGAAGAAGGAAAGGGAGAATCCTAAGCGCACTCCATGCCCACTGCGCGGCCCAACCTGGAGCTCAATCTCACAGACCTGGAGCTCACGACCTTTGCGAAAACAGAGATGCCTAACCAAACGAGCCACTCAGGCACCTCGGAGCTGTCCTCTTTTAAATAATACCCACTTTGGGACCCCTGGGTCGCTCAGTAGGTTAAGCATCTGCTTTCACCAGATCATGATCTCAGGGGCCTGGGATCGAGTCCCGTGTTGTCCTCTGCACTTAGCTTGGAGTCTGTCTCTCCCTCTGCCCCTCTCTGCCCACTTGTGCTCATGCCTTCTCCCTCTTAAATGAGTAAGTAAAATTAAAAAAAAAAAGATTACAATAATATTCACTTTAAGAAAACTTTTTTTTTTTTTAAAGATTTTTAAGTCATCTCTACACCCGATCTGGGGCCCGAACCTACAACCCTGAGCTCAAGAGTCAGAATGTGCCACTAATGGAGCAAGCCAGGTGCCCCAAGGGAAACTTTATTAAGTAGAAGTTTTTTAAAAAATAAATACTTGAGCAAGAAAAGAGAGAGAGAGAGAGAGAGAGAGAGATAGCAAGGGAGGAGCAGAGGGAAAGAATCCCAAGCAGACTCTGCTGAGCAGAGCCCAATGGGACTGAATTTCACGACCGAGATCATGGCCTGAGCCGAAACCACGAGTTGGACACTCAATCAACTGAGCCACCCAGGTGCCCCTAAAATTCTTTTACACTGTAAACACGCACCATAATATCTGATAGCGTAACCAGGATCAAGAACTTGTTTTTAGCGTATTGGTTCTGCTCAAAAAGACAAAACCCAAGAAACCCAAATACCGCAGGTACGTCAAACAATTTCCCTGGGATGACCACCACGGGGCCTTTGCGGTCGATCACTGGGTTCCAGGCCTGGGCCGAGGCTCAGCGAGGCTGGGACGGCACTGGGACGGCACAGGGACGGCACTGGGACGGCACTGGGCTTGCTGCACTACAGCACCTCTCCCCTAGGCTTTGTCGCGGGTAATACCCGTGCATCTACTTCCCCTCAACGGCTAAAGGAGTCCATGTCCCTTCTAGTGGGACAGAGATGGCTTCTGGGGACCACACGGCTGCAAGTAAAGCCATAACAAGTCACATCTGATGTGCATCTGCCGCTATTCGGGGTGGGGGGCGCCCTCTCTCTCCAAGGAGACCCCCTGCCCATCCGTAGTCACATGGCACATCCCAGACACAAAGGAACTTCTCTGGACACCACGTTAAACAGTAATATCTGAAATACAAACATGAGCACGAGAAAAGGCTGGAGGAACATACACGGAAGAGGGTTACCCTCGGGTAGTGGGATTACACTTGACATTTGTCTGGACTTTCCAAATAGCAACCACATGAAAATCACTCATCCAACCCCGGGAGGACGAGCCACTTCGTTGGAAAAGTACTTCAATTTCACTTAGGTTGACTACTGCACCTACAAATTTTTTTTTTGAACATTCTATGTATTTATCTGTCAGAGACTGCATCCACACACAAGCAGGGGGAGCAGCAGACAGAGGCAGAAGCAGGCTCCCTGCCAAGCAAGAGGCCTGCTGAGGGGCTCAATCCCAGGACCCTGGGATCATGACCCCACCTCAAGGCAGACGCCTAACCGACTGAGTCACCCAGGTGTCCCTGAATCCTGAAATTCTTAGAGCAAAAGAAAAGATTAAAAAGGTTTACTAGAAGAAAGAACTAATGTTCAAACGTATTTTGAATTACTCAACCTCCTAATCAGACCACTTGAAGCCAGTTTATCCCAAGTTCATCAGCTGGTTCTCTGCCCCCGTGCTGAGGGGCGGCCAGCCCAGACTGAATCCTGGCCTTGCCCCTCGCTAGCTGGGCTCAGTGCCCTTCAGCCAGGCACTTCCCTTTCCGGAGCCTGTTCCCCCTGCGATCTAGGACCCTTCCAGGGACGGAGTGGACCACGTGATGCAGGTGAGCTAGCTTTTACCCCCGTCCTTTCTCTCCCGAAAACACGTTTCACCGTGTGTTCAGAAAACCAATGAAGAAAATGCATCCCAAAACACAAGAACTCTGAACAACTCTGAGCAGCTACCAGTAGTCTGCAAGCACAGGAGGTTTTTCAGCGCGGCAGACAGAACATGTCTCTGAGACAGGTCTCGCTTGTAAATATACAAAGGCTTAATCCGACATCATTGCTCACCAGCCTGACGACTCCACTTTGGGAGGAAGACCAGCAACTAAACCTTTCAAAACGGGAGCTGTACACTTAGGAGTGTCAGTGAAGTCCACACGTGCACTCACCTATACGTTTTCTTAACACAAGAAACAACGGCCAGTGGAATCAGTGAGACGGACCGATTCTCAGCACAGGGCTCGGTCTTTAGAGAGAGTGGCCCCGGGAGCATGAGTAAGTGGTCCTGACAGTGTAAACTTACTGTACTCAGCACTGAGAATTACACCGTCAGCAGCATCACCAAAATCTACCTCCCGCAGAAGACACACCGACGACTTTGAGAAAATTTTATCAAGCAGTGCCTGCTCTGGAAAGACCAGTCCTGATTTCCACCCTTTATAGACGCTGTCTCAGACCCACCAATCCCGAAGTTCCGGGCCAAGGTGCCCCCCCGGGGTCCACAGAAAACTCACAGGTACCCCGGGAGCTTCGGTTTTGACGGAAACACAGCAAGACTTGGTAATGCCAGATACCGCACAAACTACTAGCTCGAGGTCGTTCTTTTCGCCACCAGATCAGGTTAGTTCCTGGGATAAAAAGCGAGGAATGCAGAAGCCCAGTCTGGATCAGAACACGATTCCACGGCGGCAGGGGTCATGCAAGGACCCAGAACCCTGAGTGAAGTAAAATTACTATTCTTTCCTTTCGGGTGTGTTATTTTCCCACGGAGTCATTTGGATGTAAACACTTACTAAGGCTCCTTGTAAAGACAGATTGGAGAGGTACGGGTGACGGTGCAGGGACCCTCACTGAAATCTGGACATGGAAGTGGTGGCAAGATGCGCAAATGTGATACATATGTGAGAAGCCAGCGAGGCTGCCTCTGGAGTGACCCTGTGGCTGCCACCTGCCCTCTTCCTGACCAGCCCCTCCCCACGGCCCGACAGAAAGCTTGAGAGAAAGGTTTTAAATAATCACTTTACTTTTCCATTTTGATCTCCACAGGATGATGTCTGTCAGCACTAGATAATTTTTCCTTCTTCACTTCACACTCTTTCCTGTCAGACAGCTTTTTCCCAGCAGGTTCGTTTTTGGCCTAAAATACAACATGGGTTAGAAATGGCCCACGGTCCGGGTCCCCTTGCTTGTGAGCTTGGTGGCTTACAGCAGGCGAGTCGCCTCACCTTCTCTACGGAGATCATCCTTCCGTGCAGCTCCGTTCTGTGGAGATGGCTGATGCACTTGGTGGCTTCGTCAGATGTCGACATGGTGACAAAGCCATAGCACCGAGCTCCAGGACTGCGGGCGTTGGTCACCACTTTGGCCCCGACAACCTTCATGAGAGAGGACACTTATTCTTCCACATAAATCACAACACAATTTGTCAAAAATAATTAGCAGGTAAATGATCACCAGAATTCTTTTCAATAGTTTTTACTCCTCCACAAATTGTTGGTTTGCCGTAATTAGCTACTGAAGTGGTTCTACATCATCCTACCAAAATACATGTGCTTCCTGTACATCAGCCTTCAGAGTGACAAAAAACGAACAGGGAAAGCTAAAGACATTTAAAACTTCACCAACCACAACTCATTAATTAATCCAAAGTCCGGGGCGCCTGGGGGGGCTCAGTGGGTTAAAGCCTCTGCCTTCGGCTTGGGTCATGATCCCAGGTCCTGGGATGGAGCCCCGCATCGGGCTCTCTGCTCAGCGGGGAGCCTGCTTCCCCCCCCACTGCCTGCCTCTCTGCCTGCCTGTGATCTCAGTCTGTCCAATAAATAAAATCTTTAAAAAAAAAATTAATCAAAAGTCCTTCCCACTTGGATCATTTTCTCTAGCTGGACTTCGACTCCCAGACAGGTCGGTGCACCAAGCATTTACCCACTCCTGCTGCCTGGAAAAACCTCGCAAACCGGAGGAAATGTAGGCCACCAGGGTTTTCAAACACCATACACCAGGCCGCACAGGACGGTGACCCGGGGGTGGGGACACACACAAGCAAAGCTGCGTGGCTGCCCCTCCCCCGCCCCGGCTTACTTCCTAGAGGTTTCCGGTTGTGTGGGGCGGGGCGGAGGACAGGAGGTGAGGGGGGGAGGTGGTATCCGGGAGCTGAGCATAGCAGCGTCTGAAGAAATGGGGGCAGCAGGACACAGTACTGGAGAGGAAGCGCTGCATAAAGGCAGCTCCAGAGAGCTCCACGGGGCCCCTAAGCAGCACGCACGTGAGAGGCCAGGGAGAACACCACCTGTCCGAGCAAACAACCCCACAGGCTCAGGGACTCATATAGCTCACTTCTTCCAGAGTGAACCAGCACGGAAAGGAAAAGCTTGCAATTCATGGGGCTTTAGGCGGAGACCTCAGGAGGATCCTGCCCCAGAAGCGGACAGAGCTAGCCCCCAACTAAGGCTGCTCCGATCTAACGACGCCTAACAGCCAGCCTGGGGAGGAACAAGTAATTGAACTGTGTCCCAACAAAAGCTTAAGAACACGGACAGGGACACGCGAGTAACTAGAATACAACATGCACGTCACAACGTCTGGTGTCCGGCCAAAAACAACTAGGCAGCCAAGAAATAAGAAAATGACTCTAACGAAGAGAACCAACCAATAAACAGAGATCCAGAGCGCGCTCCAACAACAGAATTGGTAAACGATGATATTAAAGTTATTTTAGCTGCATCTTAAGTGTTCAAGAAGTTGGAGAAACCACTGAGCGTGTTAGGTAAACAGAGAAGATATTTAAAAACACCCAACCCAAGATTCTGGAGATGAATGTAAATGCGATGGGATGGACAGCGGACACTGCAGAAAAAAGGATGAGGAACTGAAGACATAGCGACAGAAGCTACTTGAAAAGAACTGGAGGAAAAAAGACGGAAAACAAACCAAAACCACCAGAGCATCAGTGGGCTGTCAGACCACCTGTGGCGTCGGCAAAAGCAGCAGCACAGGAAAACCTTCCCGGATGAAGCCACAGTATATGGGCAGTGCGATCTGCTCCAGAGCAGTGATAAAGAGAACCTTCCAGGTAAGCCAGACGAGAAAGACACCTATGCCCTAGGGAGCAAAGGTGAGACCCAGAGCCAACCGGTTAGACAACAGGAACCAGGAGGAGGGAGGAGCACTGCTGTCTGGACAAAAACCACCAACCAACCCCGAATTCTGCAGGAGCAAGAACAGCTTTCAAAGTGGAAGCAAAAGAATGACATTTTCAGACCTACAAAGGCAGCAGGAATTCATCCCGGGCAACCCTGTATTGTAAGAAAGGTTTAAAGAGGGAGAAAAAAAATACCTAAAGGGAACTTGGGTTATCAACAAGAGGGAAAAAAGAGCACCCTGAAAGGTAAACACGGAGGTAACTAAAAGCCTGCGATTTGTCTTGTTTACGTAACTCCTTAAAAGATAATTGTTTAAAGCAAAACAAGACAAAAAGACCCCCCCCCAAAAACCAAAAAGACACAAACACACCAAAACCCACCAACCACCCCACCTGTCAACGAACCAAAAACATGCTACGTTGTCTATTAACCTGAATTTACACAGCGCTGATACCATCACAAAGGCTGGGAGGGCGGTGCACTGTCCCCAGGTTCGTGGGCCCCCCCACCCCCAAGGACTGGAATACCACTGAAGGACAGACTGCACTGAGTCTAGTAACAGAATTCCTAAATGCAGCCACCAAAGAAAAATGCTGTCGTTCAACCAACTGCTCAAGGAAGAAACCAAAAGACAAAAAATACCCTGAGACAGATGAAAAAGCAGCATGTAATACAGCAAAACCTACGGGGGATGGCAAAAGCGGTTAAGAGCTAAGTCCCCATCAAGAAACACAAAAACCCCAAATAAGCGAGCTAACTTCACACCTCAAGAAACCAGGACGAAGCAACACTACTTACACATACTAGTTCAGCCAAAAAATGACAAAGCATAAGAAATACTCAGTGCAAGAGGCAGCAGATAGAGAGGAGCAAGAGATCCAAGAAACAGAACAGGGAGGAGACAGGGAGCCAGATGGCAGCTGGAAGCCCACTACAAGGGCACACGAGCTAAAGGTCAATGTTCCTGTAGGGCGTGCGAGAGAACTGAAGGTAGAGCCCGCACCTACGCCAGGTGCAGAGCTGTGCATCAGGACACACGAGCCCTAGTAAGTCCGGCTCTGACCACCTGTGATGCCACAGCTCAATGTGAGAAAGGCCCCTCCTCTCTCTGGACCTCAGGGTCCCAACCGTGAGATGACCGGGGGTGGGATGGGTGCTTGTCACTGCTTCGGTCCTGGCAGAACCCGGTGTCCATGTTCCCACTTGCAGATATGGCGGAGCTGGCTTTCCCTGAAGAAAGCCCCCCTCTGTCCAGAGCACCCCATACAGGGCCAAAGGGGACAGATTCTCCCTAGAGAGACATCAATGTCACTCCTCTTAGGAAGCTTCCCCTTCTTCCCTCTCTTCAAGATCAGGCGACTGAGCCAATGAAGGGGTCACATGACCTTCCCCTCAAACTATTTAACCTTGCAAGGACATCACCTCCAATGGCCCTGAGCGCAGAATCCAAGACCACCTCACCTGTCCCTGTGCCCCCTTGCCTCACGCTCCGCCGTCACAGCAGCCTTTGAGCAGTTCACGCAAATTACAGACTCGTCGCATCACAGGGCCCAAGTCCCGCAGCTTTAGTCCAGCGCCGAGCTCCCAGGGCAGGGCCAACTCTAACATCACTCAAGCCTCGGCTCACGGTGCTCCTCTTCCACAAGGGGCAGTGAACCCAAGACCCCCCGCTAAACTCGGTCTCCCTCCCACACACCGACGGCAGGCTGTGACATTCCTACATGACCCCCTCGTAACTTGCTGTGTTTACTTAGGTCCTCTCCAGCAGCCTGTAAGAACGAGAAGGACAGCGCCTCACAGCTGCTGTTGTACCTCAGGACGGCTGCCCCAACCAAGAAGGAAGGCAAACTGAGGATGGGTTGTGGCTTCTTAGTTGTGAGCCCCTCCGAAAGACATCCGCCATCAAGAAAAATTCATCTCACGAACACTTCTTCTGGGTCCTGTCCACTTAAGTCACGAACGCATTCACCAACGCCTACTCGGGGACACAGAGCTGGGCCGAGAACCCGCCCAGGGCAGCCAGGACATCCTGCCAAGCTCCGCCTGGGCTCCCTACAGCTCCTCCTGGCCAAGGGGCACCACGGCCCACTGGCCCGCACCAGACCAGCGCGGAGCTCCCGGCTGAAGGGGTGACTTACACTGTCTAACTCCAGGACAGTGCAAATTGGCGTTCATGTCCTCAAGTCCCTGCGAGGCTTCCAAGTGGTATTAATTTTCTTTCCGCCCCTGCGGACCATGTATTCGTTGATTTATTTTTAAAGATTTTTATTTATTTATTCATTTATTTGTCAGAGAGAGAGAGAGAGAGAGAGAGGGAGAGAGAGCAAGCACAGGCAGACAGAATGGCAGGCAGAGGCAGAGGGAGAAGCAGGCTCCCCGACGAGCAAGGAGCCCGATGTGGGACTCGATCCCAGGACGCTGGGATCATGACCTGAGCCGAAGGCAGCTGCTTAACCAACTGAGCCACCCAGGCGTCCCCGTTGATTTATTTTATTTATTTATTTATTTTTAAAACATTTTATTTATTTATTTGAGAGAAGAGAGAGACAGTGAGAGAGAGCATGAGCGAGGAGAAAGTCAGAGGGAGAAGCAGACTCCCCGTGGAGCTGGGAGCCTGATGCGGGACTCGATCCCGGGACTCCAGGATCATGACCTGAGCTGAAGGCAGTCGCTTAACCAACTGAGCCACCCAGGCGCCCCCCGTTGATTTATTTTTAAACCGCTACCATGTTCCTGTTCCCGAACTATAGGCCTGAAAATGCTGATGTATTAAAAACCAACTCTTAAAGTTTTGTATGGGCCAAAAACAAGCAGTTTCTTTACGAGCAATGAGAATGAACCACAAGAACGTTCAGACTGTAACAATTTACACACATTTTCTGCGACACAATCAACTACCTGCTATTACCCACTCTCAGCGAGGAAACGAGGCTCAGTACCCAAAACCAGGTAGGCCTCTTCTCCCTTGTGGTTTTGTTTTCTATGCTTTTAAAAAATACACACAATGGGGCGCCTGGGTGGCTCAGTGGGTTAAAGCCTCTGCTTTTGGCTCAGGTCATGATCCCAGGGTCCTGGGATTGAGCCCCGCATCGGGCTCTCTGCTCAGCGGGGAGCCTGCTTCCTCCCTCTCTCTCTGCCTGCCTCTCTGCCTACTTGTGATCTCTGTCTGTCAAATAAATAAATAAAATCTTAAAAAAAAAAAAAAATACAATGATGGGGCGCCTGGGTGGCTCAGTGGGTTAAAACTTCTGCCTTCAGCTCAGGTCATGATCTCAAGGTCCTGGGATGGAGCCCTGCATTGGGCTTTCTGCTCGGTGGGGAGCCTGCTTCCCCTACCCCCCCGCCTGCCTCTCTGCCTACTGGTGATCTCTGTCAAATAAAAAATAAATAAATAAATAAATAAAAAATACACACACTGAAAAGACCAACAAAACCAACGACAGAAGAAAGAACTCTCCAAAGTCCTGTGTTTGTCACTGGGCGCCACGCGGAGGCCGGGCTGCAGGGCGCCAGGGGTACGTACCTTCCCATACTTGTTGAAGAGGCTCTTCAGATCCGTAGCTCGAGTCGTGGAGGACAGTCCACTGACCCACAGGTTCCGGCCAGAGCTGCTGCTGGTGCGACCTGCCGCAGGAGGGAAGGGATCAGGCTTGGCCTCCAGGCCGAACGGGAAGCATGACCTACCTCAGGACGCAGCCTGCTCCTGAACCCCAACTACCCCCCATCACAGCTCCCTTGGTCTAAGCATTTACAGGATGGAAAACAAAATCTATGGGTTGCAGAGACCGGCCCCTCACTCGAGGATTCATCAGGTCCTCGTCCGTTACAAACAGAAATGAATTTTGGTGACCAATTCTCAACTTGGGTGGCGGTTTCTACGACTCTGTTCTGTTATTGTAATGGGCAGAACGGGCCTGTACTAGGACGTGATGCACTGGGATTTTCGCTATCCCATAAAGGACAACCACAACAGAGACGTAAACCATAGAAGCTCACCAACATTTCAATCTAGTCTCTCAAGATACTGGTAGATGGGTTACTTCCAGTAATCCTCAATGAAACCAACCATCGGATCCCCAGTGTGGGTTCCTGCAGGCCCCTCCCTCCCCAAATAAGGGATCCATAGTCGGCTCCCTGCCACATAAGCTGAATCATACCTTTTTCATCTTTAATGATTGGCTTTATATCTTTTTCTTCCTTAAAAGAGCTAGAGACAAAAGTGAATGTTACTCACATGGGAACAAAAGGAGAGAGAACTAAATTAAAAGTATGGTATGTGCTAAAAACTGAATACCTACCAGAAAATTAGTCTGAAATAAAATCTTAAGACACCTTTGCAAGCTTCTCTAGGCAATCTGACCCCCAAAATACGATGTCAGATTCTTAAAAGTCAATTGCATTTAGCTGAAGATAGCAGTTAACAATTTAAGAACACAACCATAGTAGGTTGGGAAAAAGAAAAGGAATAGATTCACCCATTAAAAAATACACAACGAGAAATAAAACATGGTTCAGAAGTAAGCTACGACTGCATCAGTCTGGCTGGCCAATTGCAGAAAAAACAGCTTATGTGTGTCATTAAATGACCAATGGAAAGGAGATAGCGTCTGGTCTAAAACTGAGAAAAAACAAACCTCATTTTCTGATCAGCGCCCTCACTGGCTGAGGACTCTTTAGGAGCCGGAGGGACTTCATTACAAGCTTCAAAAGCAAACTTCTTCACGTCTTCTTTGCTATCTCTGGGGTCTGGGCTTGAGGCTTCCGGGGGCGCTTCCGCGGCCTCCTCGCTAGAGGCTTCCGTGCGCTCAGAGGCTTTACTACTCTGCTCAACCGGCTGCTCTAGCCCTACAGGCTCACAGTCCGTCCGCGCGCCACCGCCTGGCTGCTCCACGGGCTCCCTTTTCACTACCGCTAACAGGGTGTCTGCCCTGCTCGCCTGAGCTTGCGCTGTTGACTCGCTGGCCAAATCTAAGTCACCCTCCTCCGGGTGGCCGCTGCCAAAAAGGTCCTCTTCCTCCGCAAGCTTTCTGTCTGGCCCCACGCTACTTGTATCCTGTGCCAAGGGCTGCTCCAGCTCGGAACCTTCTTCTTTTACTGGCTCAGATTTACAAGTTTCCCCCAAAATGTCGAGTATTTTCTCATTTTCTACGGATTTAACAGGAATAGAATGGCACAAGGTTTAATTACCAGGGAAATAAAGCAATCACAAATGCGGAACTGGCACGGCTGCCACACTAACACGAAGAGAACCGCTAGCTACACAGAGATTGGAAAACCCGCGGGTACACAAAGTTACACCGGTTACACTACCTGCGCTCCAACCGACTGCTACAGTAAGCCGCTACGCTACATGGAAGAGAAAAGGCCCCCACAGATTCAAACACCTACAACCACGTGGCTGCTTCTCGACAGTCTTCCTCGTGTTTTTGTTCAAGTGTGGGTCTTCAGACTTAGTTTCCCAGTGTCCAAGGTGCCGAACCAAATGCGATCACCATTCGATGACAGCTCAATTTCCAAAGCTTCTTCCGACTTCTTTTAACGGAACAGTCCCATACGCAAACCAGAAACTCTTCTGACGGCGGGAGATAAGCGCAGTCCAGAAGGGGAATAACACGTTGGCAATTTTCCCTGAAGAGACTCTGTTTCCTCTTCTGGAATCCAGTCACTTCGCGGTTATGAGTGCCCTGACAACTGCTTTATCCTGCCTTAACTGTATTAATCAAAAAGACTGCAGCAAAATATCACAAGATCTGTTTCATGTGTAGAAACACATGGAAGAATCACCGGGGGAATTACTTAAATGCCCCTCTATGCGGTGAGAGAGATGAAGATAATCACTACATCTCACCCAATATATTCAACCTCCAGAAACCAGAAGGGCACTTCCACAGATCTGGTGATACGACTGGGTTTCCAATCTCTGATCCTTGTATGATCTGGATTGTCCACCATTAAAATCATTTACACGACCATACACAGCTTAGAATATATAGATAGATTGAAAAAAAGAGTGGGAAAACTTTCAAACCATTAACTGTCGTGTTTCTCTTATCAGTACCTGGCTCCAAGAGAGCTTCTTCAATATCCTGTTTTAAAAAGAAAAGAGAAAGAAACCCACAAGGCACTTAAAAACTGAGCAAATATACTTCCCTGGCAGACATAGCGTCAATCACGTGCGAATCAACTTTTTTCACTCAAAACGACCCTATTCCATTCTGGGAGGATTCGGTGAGAAGCCCATTTTGTTGCCCTCCCCCGGGCACAGCCAGGGAGGCAGCGTGACACTCGGCCTGTTCCGTTCTCCCTGGAGGGTCTGGTAGCCTCACCCCCAACTAGGCTGACCAAGCAGCCTCTGGAGAGAGCAAAGACAGCCACAGTGAGAGGTCACACACACAGCGACTGTTCTATAGGTCATACCAGATCTGAGGAAGCTCTATTTCTCCCCAAGTAAGCTGTGATTTGTAACTGGAACCTGTCAACAAAGCCGTCTGTTCACCTCTCTCAAAACCTCCCCGACTGCCCACCGAACTTAAGACAATGGGCCAAATCCTCTCCCTGACCCACAGACTCGGGCAGTCAGGCCCACCCACGTCAGCGGCCTCCAGCTCTACATTCAGCCAGTCTCCCTCCTGGCCCACCGGTGGACCTCGGTTTAGGTAGGGCTTCCTCTGGGAGCGTTTACAGCCCAAACCCTTCAACTTCTCCCTGGAAGAACTTCTCCCTCCTAGTTATTAACTCTGTCCCCACTAGAATGCAAACAGTTAAGACTACTTGTTTGGCTTGACCTCTTACCCCGGGCACTCAGCTCAGCATCGGCGCTGTACGAATCGTCCTTACACAGACACACGCCCTCTCTCCCCAAGGAAAACCAAGCACTCGCGTCGCGTCTCCAGTCCTGTAGCACCAGAAGGTCACTTACCGGAGGTACTTTGAAGTCCAGTGACGAAGCGTCCAAAGTGTTCTCAAAGCCCTCCCCATCCACCTGAAAGACAAAAACAGAGAACCACTTAGTGGAGACAGAGCTGAGTGCCAGCCCGACGCCTCACCAGTTCCTGAGTGGCCTACGTGTCCACTCCCCCCAAGCGCCCACCGTCCCCTGCAAGTCTGCTGCTGGCTGTCGGTTTCTGGTGGCCTCGCCGCCTGCTCCAGGGCCGGGCGGCACAGCACCTCTGAGCAGGTCTCCCAGACAGCAGGTGCTCGGTTGGTACCAGCCCAGGAACATGCACACCCCGTTCCCAGGCAGCCTCTATTTGTTGGCGGTCCCCACATGCAACCCGGACACAATTTCCAGAGCAGAGCTCAGAAGGAAAATGAAAACCTTCACGCTTCCCTGATTTCACTTGCTAACAATACTTTTAAAAGTAACAACAACGGGGCGGCGGGGTGCCTGGGTGGCTCAGTGGGTTAAGCCTCTGCTTTCGGCTCAGGTCATGATCTCAGGGTCCTGGGATCGAGCCCCACATCGGGCTCTCCACTCTGCAGGGAGCCTGCTTCCCCCCCCCCCAACCCCCGCCTGCCTCTCTGCCTACTTGTGATCTCTGTCTGTCAAATAAATAAATAAATCTTAGGGGAAAAAAAAAAAGGTAACAATAACCAGGAACTTTTATCTACTGTGCCTTATTTTTTTTTTTTTTTAAAGATTTTATTTAATTATTTGAGAGAGAGAGAGCGTGAGAGGAGAGAGGTCAGTGGGAGAAGCAGACTCCCTGCTGAGCAGGGAGCCCGATGTGGGACTCGATCCTGGGACTCCAGAATCATGACCCGAGCTGAAGGCAGTTGCCCAACCAACTGAGCCACCCAGGCGCCCCTACTGTGCCTTATTTAACACATTTAACTGAACTACTATCTTACACGTCACTGTTTGAGAGCTTTTTACTTCTTAAAGTGAAATACAAAAACTATGCCCTCCCAAATGTAGTTTTTTTTTCCTTTTCCAGGTTTGAAGCTCATGACCTAGATACTTTGATTAACCATGAGGTAAGAAACCAAGTCCGTGCTCTGGAAATAATTAACACACAGCAGAATTGTACCGAAAGAGGCCAAGGCCAGCAAGTCATTTATTCATCGTCACCCTAGGCTGAGGGGCAGCGGTGTTTGGAGTTTGTGATTTTTGACCTTTAAAGTTTAAAGTCCAGTCCGAGAGCACTTTTTCCTTCCCCTCCCAGCTTAAAGCTTAAAAAAAAAAAAAAAAAAAAGGACAGCGAGAATAGAAAACCAAACCAAAACACAAAAAATACCAAGGAAACGAAGAAGCTGAATGCACCATGGTAGTAGGATTAAAATGGCAATCAGTTTTAGGATGGCCACAGAATTCTTCACCAAATGAAGTAAAAGCTCGAGAAAGCAACACTGGTAATAGAATTCAAGTCCTCCTTTATATACAGGAACGTTAAGAGGGTTTTTCTTCCCCACAGGAGGGGTGCTTCCGAGGGCATGAGTACTTTCCCTCACTCATGTCTTTTAACATAACCATCTAACCTTGTGCCTAGAGCACATCCTAAAAAAACCAACAGGAAGGGGCGCCTGGGTGGCTCAGTGGATTAATGCCTCTGCCTTTGGCTCAGGTCGTGATCCCAGGGTCCTGGAATCGAGCCCCGCATCGGGCTCTCTGGTCAGTAGGCAGCCTGCTTGGCCCCCTCCCTGCCTGCCTCTCTGCCTACTTGTGATCTCTCTGTCAAATAAATAAAATCTTAAAAGAGAAAAAAAACAACAACAGGAAGACCTGAATGCTGACATGACGAATTGTTTTTGGTTTCCTGTTTTCCAAAGGAAAATACTTTTATGAACAATGTCAGCCTTCTCTGACTCGTGCCGAGGAAGGGCCTCTCGCCCTTGTATCAAAAGACTCCTCAGCACCGTTGAGAAGTTAGGCGCCAGCTAACACCTGACTTGCACGCTGTTTAAACAGACATCATTTACCATGAGGCCTGAGACAGGGACCCTGTGTTTACGGTGACCGCTGATGGGGTGGCGTGCTACCTAAACGCCAGTGTGCGCTCACTCCCCGTGGCGGCCTGGGAGCACCGAGGAGCCCCAGGGCCGCCGGCACCTTTCCCCGTGTCATCAAGTCACCTACAGCGTGCTCTGCGAGCTGCGCCGGGAACTCTCGCCGTCGGGCCGCCACGTATTCTTTGCTGTCACAAAGGGAACCGAGAATGCTGTCAGCGCCGTCCTCCCCAAAGTCGGGAGCACTGCTATTCTCAACTTCGCTCTCTTCCAACACACCCACATCCATCATGTCGAGGCTCTGCAAGCTGTCTAAACCTGCATCCATATCCTCCTGCCAAGAGAACGGAAGGTGTCAGCGACTGGGTGGCTGGTCACGGAGCTCCCATTAGCGTCTCTGCCGTGGACACCACATACCTGCCCGTCTCTGGAATCTTCTTCCAGGCCGTTGTCTTCTGTACCTTCTTCCTCCATCTTTTGTCCTGATGCCAAAATAATTTTTTAATCAGATAATACTCAGGTTCTGGCCTACAAAACATGTATAGCTTTTATTCTAGAAATCCCCCCAGTTAAGGGCATGCGCTAAAATGTCTGAGAACAAACAAAAAATGTAACCCATCTATCTAGAAACTGTATACAGCCCGAACATTCAAAAGGGAAGCAAATCACTACAGTGTGTTCATGTGTGGGACACCAGCTGTCCTCAACAGGGGAAGTGGAGGGGAATCTGGCGACGACTGGAAACATTTCTGGTGTCACAACTCGGGGACGCTCCCAGCGGCTGGTGGGTAGTGACCAGGGATGCTGTGCGACAGAAGAGCACGAAGGACGGCGCCCTGCCGGGAAGAATTACCCACCCCCAACTGTCAACAGCACCAAGCTTCCAAAACACGGTGGCCCACCAGACAATGCCTGACAACTTAAAAAAAAAAAATTATGGGGGCGCCTGGGTGGCTCAATGGGTTAAGCCTCTGCCTTCTGCTCAGGTTGTGATCTTGGGGTCCTGGGATCAAGCCCCGCATCGGGCTCTCTGCTCAGCGGGGAGCCTGCCTCCCCCTCTCTGCCTGCCTCTCTGCCTCCTTGTGATCTCTCTGTCAAATAAATAAACAAAATCTTTAAAAAAAAATTATGCTTCTAAGGAATAATGATATGGGAAAATGCCCACCAAAAAAAAAAGAAAGACCACAGAGAGTAGTTCACTTTCATTAAAAGGCGCATACACATATGGATGCAATCGAGGATAAAGACGCATTTATAAAATACACACGAGAACGGCTTAGGCAGTCACCAACAGGGGTTAAGATACAAGGTGATAACATTAGAGATGATTTTATTTTCACAGGCATACTTCTTACGTTTTCTAAAGTATCTAGAAGTACGGTTCCTGTAATTTTTTACAAGAATTTTCTCTTGAAATTTCTCAATTTTCTCTTTAAATGAGAAAACCACACCAAAGGGACAGAGATATTTGCATAAAGACCCAAACTGCAGTGTGTACACTCAAGTGGTCTCTGCGCCACCATCGCGACACTCACTCAAGATGTGTGGCTTTGCTGTGTGTCAGGCACTGTGGCCTCTCCGTCATTGCCCCCACAACGCCAGCAGGCTTAGCCGCTGCATCCGACACACAGGCATCTGGTCCACCCCTTAAGAGTGGTTCGAAACATGCGTGGCAGCAGCACCCACTTTCAGGGCCCGCAGTACTCAGGACGCCAACAGGACAGATGCAGACCGCAAAGTGCCCTGAAGGAGAGTGGGGGAGTGACAAACGCTGCCAGAGAGGTCCGGACCCCAACTCCAAGGGCCGGCTTCAGTAACAAAAGCTGCAGGGCTGGGGGACCAAGAGGCTAGAAAACCTAATCCAAAATTATAATCTTTCCAAACACACCCACGAGGTTCAAAACTTTTGTCCGTTTCAATGAGCTAAAGAGGAGAAGTTCCCTTGTCTCATCCTGAAGTGTTTTTCTCAGAAAGTTTAACTTTTTACTTTTACATCATCTTGAAGACCTAGTTCCGACCAGGACACCGCGAGGGTCCAGCGCTTCGTGTGACTAACCGTGTGTCCAGACTCCTACAGAGTAACAGTCCAGCCCCACCACCTCCACGAAACAGGGCCGGGGCCACCTGTTTTCTCCCTGTGCTTTTGGTGACTTCTCAGACAAAAAGGAAGGGAAGGAACCAGTGCCCTTCTTATCCCTTCTTATCGCACTACAGCTCCCCTGGGACCGGCATCTCTTTATACCAACAAAAATAAGTACTGCCAAAGCTTTTTTGACAACATGAAAGTCCAAGTGGTTTTACCGTCACCTAAACTGTAACCCAGACCTTCGGACATGCACTGCGAGCCCTGGGCTGAGGTTTGGTTTGTCTAATGGTGCAAAGATCCCTGTTAAGAGCCAAGAACACTTTGATTAGTAAGCCTTGGCCCTCCCAAGCTTTGAAGGAGCGCCTACCTTAGAGACTTCCACTAAGAACTTTTAGATTGACAGATACACATCTCTCGGCCTCCACTCGCCTGACTACTCAGCGCTTATACTCGACCATTACAAGATCAATAAAAACACATCAATGGGTTAAAATTCGGCTTAAATATAACTCCTTTATACAACCTAATTAAAAAGTTTAACCTTTCAAAACACATAGAAAGCTTTAACAAATGAGTCATGTCAAAGTCCTTCTAGGAAAGCACTCATAAAAAGTAGATTAAAATTACTGGAAAGGCTGCAGGTTACTTTTCCCTTTCTAAGCATCTGTCCTCCACTGCCTAAATTTAACTCTTCATCATATGAATGGGGCACGTCCAGCCACGACAACTTCTTATGTTGGTCCCTTTCAAGAAAATAATCCCCATCACACGGAAGTGCCCAATTATATCGTCCTCACCCATGCAAAAACAAAATGAGGATGAAAGCCAAGGAGGGTAACAAGGTTTCAAAATTTTATGGGATTAAATGATTCCAAAAACAGCTAGAACCACCCATACAAAAAAATGAGACATGAGTCTATGTCACAAAGTGAATAAACCTTGAAAACACGCTCAACAGGATAAGCAGACACAGAGGACCACATACTGCGTGATCCTATTTACATGAAACACAATGATCAGTGACACACTGCCAGAGGCCACACACAGGAGGGGGAAATGGGGAAGAAGTGCTAAAAGGCACGGGGACTTCTTTTTGGGGTACTGCAAATGTGCTGACAGCAACATAGCTTTGTGAATGTATTAAAAAGCAATGAAGTAGGGGCGCCTGGGTGGCTCAGTGAATTAAAGCCTCTGCCTTCAGCTCAGGTCATGATCCCAGGGTCCTGGGATCAAGCCCCACATCAGATTCTCTGCTCAGTGGGAGCCTGCTTCCCCCTCTCTCTCTGCCTGCCTCTCTGCCTACTTGTGATCTCTGTCAAATAAATAAATAAAATCTTAAAAAAAAAAAAAAGCAATGAAGTGTACGCTGTACATGAGTGAATTCTACAGTATATGAACTATACCTCAATTTGAAAAAAAAAGAAATCTCACTGTGGGGCGCCTGGCTGGTTCAGCGGGTAGAACACGTGAATCTTGATCTTGGGGTTGTAAATATGAGCCCCACACTGGATGTAGAGATTACTTAAAAATAAGATCTTAAAAACAAAACAAAACAAAAAACAACTCACTGGTTTTAAAAAAGAAAAGGCTGGGTGCAAATTCTCCAACAATCTATTTTGGATCCTTAAAGATACTGAGTTCTACTCTGTCTCAGACTGGTGTCGTTTTCTTTGGTTTGAAATCTTGGTTTTTGAACTTCTAGTAAGGAAGCCACGTAGTGTATTTGGTTGCTCGGGGCAGCTTTAAGAGTGTGCCTTACGCTGGTTCTTTCTGAATCCCAACGACAAGAGCCAAGAGGTCTCTAACACGTTTCAATTTTAGTTTACGTAGCACTTGCACAACTCTCTACTCCTTCCAGCACTCCTGACAGAGCTACGCGTAAGGCAGTGAAAACCAAGCCTATTTGTTAGAGGGGAACAATGAAGGCCAAGGACATGTTCCTGCCCTGAAGGTCAGAAACGGTGTTAAAAAATTCGATCTGTAAGTAAGTTCTCTACACGCTCAGGCCTCCAGCGGCAATAAGTACGTGCAGGTACCTTTAATATATCTCTTTGTTGTCCTCTTGCTTGTGGCTTCCAAGGCGACACCAATTTCATCAGGATCCTGCCCTTCTTCCTTAACCGCCTATTAAGAAGAGATGAAACTTTACAACACTGTGGAGAGCTACAGGGCACACACCGTTCTTTGTTAAGTAACGACTCCCCAGCAAACAAAGTCAAACACTTCCTTGCAAAGAGGAGTAACTCCCGTCCTACTATCTGGGCTGCCAGCCCAAAAGGCACGGGATGAACCCAGCACAACTCGGTTCTCTCCGGGCCCTAAGCACAAAAGACAAAGGGATGGGAGAGCTGGGGCTCCAGGGTGCGGGTCAATGTCTAGTTCCAAAATGGCCCTTAAACTAGATCTTGCCCAAACCTCCACTTTAATACCAATAACCGTCAAAGAGACACCCCGCTAAGTCCACCATCTGTAAGGCTGAGAGGGTTTCCACAAGCCATGTTTGACCTCTGGGGAGAAACCCCACCCGACAGATTGGGTGATGGGGCGGGGGGGGGGGGGCGGGTGCTGCTCGGCGCCCTCCTCCAGACGGGGCATAGGACTGGGCGCTCAATGGTAAACTCGAGCTAAGAGCTTGCTCCGCGGGAGAGTCAGCAATCCCTCAATACTCAACGCGGGGTTGAGCGCGGCCAGGTGGGGCATGAACACCGGGAGCGGGGAGATGGAGCAACACCTGAGCCAGCACGCAGGGAGACATCTCAGGTAGAGCGAGGAGCACTACAAGGCACCAACCAGGAGAAGCCCTGGAAGAGTGGGGGACGGGGGGAGGGCATGACAGGAGCGAAAGTCCTGGAGTGGGAACAAGCACAACCTCCACCCCTTTAAGATCTCAAAGGCTCTTCGTTCCTCCGTTCCCCACGGGAGGAAACTGAGGCGCGGGGGGAAAAAGGCACCTATCCAAGGTCACAGAACCGAGTCTCCGACCGGAGCCCGGAAGAAGTCCAGGCGGCCGCTCGGCGGCTAAAAGGACGCGCTTTCAGCACTCTCAAGGCGACCAGCTGCAAGGAGGAACAAAAACAAGGTACAGAGAGGGGTGGTGACGGGCCAAGGTCACAGAACCGGGCCCCCCGGTCCCTGCAGGCTCGGGCCGGGGTCGGTCACAAGGCGAAATGGTGGAGGGAGGCCCGCGTCCGGCAATCGCGCTGACAGGCCGGCACGGGGGCGTGCCCCGGCCTCCTGCTCCAACCCGGGACGTCGAGCCGCCTCACCTTCTTGAGCCGCTCCATCAAGACGCTCTTGTTGCCGCCCGTGTCCAGATTCCGCTTCTTCAGCTCCGCCCGCAGGTCTATCACCCGCAAGTCACTTAGCCGCCGTGTCCCGGCCTCCGAGGCACCCGATCCGACAGCGGCTGTGCCAGAACCCGACTCGCCGGACCCTGCCAGAGTCTCCGCCATCCCAGGTTTCACGGCCCCGCCACCCTCTTCCCACACCGCCGGCGGCTGTAGCGGCTCTGAGCACAAAATGGCGCCTCCTAAGAGGAAAACGCACTCGCTTCCTCCCGCCCCGCTTTCCGGCCGCGCATGCGTGCCGCACTTGCCAGCTTTCTTAACAGCACGCGCGCTCGCGCGTCGACCAACCGCAGGTTCCCCACCACAACGCGCAGGCGCCGTAACTGCAGCACGCATGTGTCACGGCCGTTCGCGGCGGGAGGCTGGCGAGATGCAATGCGCCTGCGCACTTCCGTTTTAGTTCTCACCACGCATGTGCAAATGCGACCGGCAGCGTCGGCTCCGCGCCGGGTGCGCCTGCGCAGAAGCGAGGCGCGCCAGGGCGGCTGGAGCGGTTCCCTCGCAGGCGGCGCCATTTTGTGCTAGGTGCCCAGATAAAACCGGCCCGGTTCTGTGTGAAGTGGGCGGTGGAGCCAGGGTCCCTGGAATGGCGGAGACTCTCTCAGGCCTAGGCGATTTGGGTGCGGTGGGCGCAGCGGCTCTGAGCTCTGCCTCGTCGGAGACCGGGACGCGGCGGCTCAGCGACCTGCGGGTGATCGATCTGCGGGCGGAGCTGAGGAAACGGAATCTGGACTCGAGCGGCAACAAGAGCGTTTTGATGGAGCGGCTCAAAAAGGTAGAGCTGGGGCCCTGCGGGGGCGGGCAGGAGGTGGGAAGGGGGTTCTGGCGGCCGCGACCGGGGTCCCCTGGCCTCGGGGTCCGCCCCCGGCCCGCTGTGGGGCCTGCGTCTGGCCTGGCGCTCCAGGCTTCTCCCGGCTCCTCCCGGGCCCACGAGGGAGCTCCCACCCCAGCGCGGCCGGGGTGCGCACCTCAGCGCCGCGGTGGGGAGAGAGCGACACCTGGGCGCAACCCGGCGACGGCGCCGCGGCCTTGGGGTGGAGGGCGGCGGGGCACCCAGGCCGAGGGCTCCTGTTCTCCGCGCCAGTCACCGCGCCGCGCGGCCTTCCTCTCAGAGGCCCACTCCAGCCTCCAGAAATGACGGGAAACCCGGAAGCCCTCATTTCCTGGGCCAGGTGGGGGAACTCGGCCAAGGTCACACGGCCGTGGCGACAGGCCGGCCGATTTCCTGAGCCCGCGCTGGCCGCCGGGCTTCCCCTGGAGGTTCCGGCGCTCGCCGGCGCGTTAGGGTGGACGTCCTTCGAGGAGAGGGGCTAGTTTACCGAGCGACTGCGGCGGGAACAAGTTCGGAGGTTAAAACAAAACAAAACGGCTGGTGGACTCGCTAGTCCTGGCTCGGGGAAGTAACGCGGAAAGGGAAGCGCTGTTTGCGGTAGCGAGCGGCAACATGGGAGACGCGGCGGGGGCCGCGAGGACGGCCGCAGGGCTTCGCCGGGAGGCAGGCAGGCAGGGCGCCCGTTCTGGGGTCTGGCCTCGGGCCTCTGCCGGGTCTCCGTGGCGCGGACGACGTCGGACGCTCTCTCGGCCTGTTTATGCCGGAAGGAGCCGCAAAGAGGAGCTTTCGGGTTCAGGATGAACCGGGCTTGGCTCGCTGCCTGGCGCGGGAGACGCGATCGTTGTCACAATTCACTTTTCCTCTCTGCCTTAGTTTGTTCTGTGCGGCAGCAGGACTGTGGTCTCTGCCGTGAGCGTGCTGAGGGGCGGGTGCGAAAGCCTGAGCAGTTCATTAAACGCTCGGGGCCTTCTGCTTCCCCTTTTCCCGTACTCGTTGGCTTCTGTGCTCTTCTCCCGTTTGCCTGTTCTCATCTTGGGACTTGGGTGTAGTCTCTGCCTCGGCCACCCCCCAGCCCCTGCAGACGGTGTGACTTGTGACTCTTTCCACCCTCCTGGCTCCCCGGCGACGGAGGAACAGGGCATTAATTATTATTGATTACCATTAAGCGGGAGTAGGGATCGTTTCTCGTTTTTCGAATGAGGAAGCTAGGGCTCGGGAATGGTGGTTTGATGAGCTCAGAGTCAGTGGGGCTCTTACGACTTGAGTTTGTGTTTGTTTCACTATGGATACTAACTCCCTTGGCTCCCCTCGGGGCAGGTAGTTCATCAACGAAGATGATCTAGAAAAATTGCTGGAAGGTTGAGGGTTGCCACCAGGGCCTCCAGTCAGCAAAGCGAAATTGGGACTTTTATCCTTTTTTACTCCCAGTCTGCAAGCCGGCAAAGAGGATAGGATGGCACTGAGCTTTCCTGTCAGATTTGGTGGCTGAGACTGGTGTGTGACTTCAAGGAGCCTCCATCACTGTTCTCTTAGAGCCATTTTTCATTTCTTCTCTCTGTTTTCATTTTCTTAGGGGTGAGGTCATAGCATGTAAATATCAGCAGCCTGTATGTTGACCTGCTACTTTACCCAAGTGAGTCTAGAATTACTGATTGACTTTTTCTTTTTTACTTCTACCATCTAGTTAGTGTCCCCCCTTTTTTGGTCATTTTTCCAGAAAGGGCAAATGAGGAAAAGGTGGAAGGAGCACAAAGAGTAGTTTCCCGAGCTCTGTAAGGATGACTCATAGCCCACAGCGTCCCTAGGGATGATCCTGTAAACACTGCACCCGGAGGAGACTTACTAGGGGGCAAAATGGTATACCTCCTATCTGGAGCACTTCTCTGTTCTCCTAGTGGTATTCCAGAATCCTCTTTTGCCAGGAAGATTGGGACAGACATTCTGGTTGTGCTTTCCTTGATTCCAGAGTAGAACTCCCAATTCCTCCTCCTCACCCTGGCTTACAGGAGAAGAGAGATTTTTTTTTTTGTTCCTGGTACAGATCAGATATGGAGCGTCTAAGCCCACAAATTCACAGCTCTTGCAAATTCAGACTTCCACGCTGAGAAACTCCTGAAGATCTGAAATTTCTGAAACCGTCTGCATATAAAAGATTCTATTTGAAGTGGGTTTAAACAGAATTCTTACTCGCAGGATAATGCAATAAGAAGAGAAAGGGTTATCGGTAAAACCTAAAATCGAAGTCCAGTATCCAAGAATATCACTGAGGACATGCTCAGTAATCATTTGCTGTGCACCTCCTTGGTGCCAAGTGTGGGTGTGGGCTGTTCAAGGGAGTGATGAGCTCTTGGGTGGGAGGTGGGGCTTACCAAGAGATGGTTTTAATCCTTACCCTTTCAGGCAAGTCCCCTACTGTTTAAGAGCAAGAGCTTTGGAGTCAGTCTTAGATGTGCATGATCTGATGAGGTAGTGCAGGTCATGTCCAGCCTCATGCCACACACAGTACGATCTCAGCCGAGTGAGTGTAAGTATCTGTCCAGACAGTGCCAAGTGTAGGCATGGCATGGAAAGGGAATCACAGAGGGTCAAACAACACATTGCTGGGTAAAGCCTCGGGAAAAGAGTGTGCTTTTTCCTTTCTGAGCTCCCTTGGGTCCAGGAATAGGATGATCTAGATGGTGGCGATGTTAATACCAAGAAATAAGTTGACTCCAGAGCCATTGTCCAAGGGAGAGCAAGACAGCAAATGGGTAGAGGGATGCCCTTTCTAGATCAGCAACCTGAAGTTTCTGTGAAAGTCAAGTCTGTGTGCTGCCTTTTTTGGTAAACCTTTTTTTAACCTCCCCTCTAGGCAATTGAAGATGAGGGGGGTAATCCTGACGAAATTGAAATTACCTCCGAAGGAAACAAGAAGACGTCAAAGAGATCCAGCAAAGGTATGGAGGATTTTATAAGCACGGCTAATGTTGAGAACTTCCTTCACAATTATTTCCTTTGCTAATGAGCCTGTTTACTTGGCCGTGTTTGGGGTCTGTGAACTACCCTGTGAATCCACAGGGCCTGGGATGAAGCTTTGCGTTCCCTTCAAGATCTCTCTAGTGTATTTTCTTTTTCTGGTACTTGGGAATTCTGAGGGATGTTTGCATATTGGTTCATCAGGCGCTCAGCAGCCCTTGTTTACCCAGACTTTTACCCTTCTTTACATAGAGAGTACTTAGGGTTGCTTGGGTCTCCTATTTCTCTGACTGAGGAATGTTATTTCTCTTTTAAATACCACCTGGCCGAAAGAGAGTCGTCAGTTTCACCGACTTTGGTTTTAAAATTGCCTAGTGCATAAGTGCTCCAATCCACGTGGCAGTAGTGACCTTTACCATCTGACCGAAATCTCCCATTTCCCTCTTCTCCCCTTCAGCCTTCCTCTACTGCATCCTGGGCTTTAGTCAGGCGCTGAAGATGTGCTTCCCTTTCTTGGTCCTCTTTTGCCTAGGCTTGCGTTCTCTGCTTACCCCTCTCCCCATGTGTCCGCAGTCAAGTCTTTGTTCATCAGCAGACACCTGTGATCCCACCAGTAGCAACTCCTCCCACCTTCACCCTCTGCACAGTCATGACCCTGGTCGGTTCCTTAGGCCTTTAGGCCTTGCTCTTTTGTTGTTGGTTTTGTTTTTTTTTTAAGATTTTATTTATTTGTCAGCATTTGCCAGGAAGTGCACAGGCAGGAGGGTTGGCAGGCAGAGGGAGAAGCAGGATCCCCGCCAAGCAAGGAGCCCATTGTGGGACTCAGTCCTAGGACCTGGATCGTGACCAGAGCCAAAGGCAGATCCTTGACCGACTGAGCCACCCGGGTGCCCCTGCTTAGATCTTGCTTTAATGCTAATGTCACTCTGTCCCATGTTAATGAGGTTGTTGGGGGCAGGGGCTCTATCTTTCTTGTCAGTCTTCTTTAGTATTTACTTGTAATTTCATCCAGTAACATTCAGCTACCGTTTTAAGAAAGAATCAGTTAAAACTGGACATTTGAACTGTTCTAAAAGTTCTTTTGGTAATTGGTGGCTTTGTTGCGTGGACCCCACAACAAAATGAAATACTCATATTACCTGGCCAGTGGTGAAGAATTGGGTTTGAAATGTCTAAGGGGCAGGGACCAAGGTCAGCCACATTGTGTCATATAAGCTCTTGGACAACAGTAGTCAGGCAGCCTCACTTTGGAATGAAGTCACTTCTGTGGTCCCTAGTACATTGTGAATTTTTGGCTTTGCCCAAGTAAATGTCTTTGCCAGGGTAAGAGTACTGGACAATCCCAGAAAGACAGTCATACTGGTAGAAAATAGGACCTCTTGG